ATACATTTCTTTCTTTTTCTACTGAGAGAAGGGACAGTGCCTCAAATTAGCAGTCGTTCTGAGTGTTAATATTTGATGATGAATCTAATTTTTTTTCCCAAGTTGGACTATTAAAATTTTATCTCAAACCATTCAATACTATTGAGTTTGCCTGGCTCACAAATATGCAAGAAAGAAAAATGTAATTTTTTATTCACTCAAGATCATGGTCATTTACTTATATAGTGAATGTTTTTGTTAAAAGCACTTTAACATTTAACATACAGTGGTTCTCTTTAATGATAGAGTATAATCAGTCACCCTTTCCCAACTTCATGGTCACTGCTGTTCTCTATATAATTGACATAAAATTATTTGCAAAACAAGGAAAACAAATTTGCACTATAGGAATAAGATCTATATTTTATAAATTACTTTTAACCATTTAATATAAATATCAGCTATTAATGTTTTTATGGTTTAAAATGCTTTACCTTTTTTTAGTTGGTTTTTTTTTTTTTTGGCGGGGGGTTAAATGCTTTAAATGGAAACAACTTTAAATAAGATAGTACCAGAAAACATATATAGCTAAAGTATGCATGAAATGAGTCATAATTAATTGTTTACCACACATTTTACTCCTCTAGCTAAAATAATAGGAAAATAAAGCTATCATTTGTCAGCTACATACTGCTACAGGAAAAGAAGCTGCAATATGTAACTCTAATAATGACATTATAACTTCTTGAATTTAGCTTTTAGAAGAGAGATAATTTGTATTAAAAAGGCTTTCCTGGGGAAGCAGCTTACTTAAATTTGTCAAGTTATGTAATTTCATTTGGTTACTTCTAAAAGCCAGATGCACAAAAATATACCAATGTAAAGGACCTCTTGTTTTATTCTACCTTTTAAAGAGCTATCAGTACAATGTTCTAATTCCTTAGTGCCTAACCTATGGCAAACACCATACAGTCACATGTTTCTCACTGTCAATTGTGATAACAAGGTCACAACCATTGTAGAGGGAGGAAAAAAATCCTGATTCCTGAGGTCACTGTCTTATTGGGTGGGAGAACCCATGGAAACCACTGGCTGTTGTTCTTTGGTTAGGGAGATGCCAAATAAGTCACAGTATAGATGGGTAAGGTGGTCCCGGAGCACAGTACTGGTTAAGAGATGCTGGCTAAAAGGAGTTTCCCTGAGTTGAACAGCAGTCAGATCAAACCAGGGGAAAGGCCTGGGGTGGGAAAAACAACAACAACAAAAAACACTGTTACTTTTTTGTCTGTTCAATACATCCAATTTGGCTGTAAATATTTCCTCTAAAGAAAGTTTTCCTCTACTTGGAAATAAGTTTCTTCACTTTCTATGTCAAACTAATTAAAATTCATAGTGAAATTAAAAATTCAGCTGAAACTATTCAATATGTGAATTTAATTGTACTACGAGTTTTCACATTTATGTACATTTCTCTAAGTGCTTTTGGGGAGGAATTCATAATTAGAGAATGATTATAATAATGACATTGACATCCTTTTCAGTATATTTTCCTTGAATTTAGAAAGAGAATACATAAGAGGATCATGGACATTAAAAATGGAAGAGATCTCATTTCTTTTAAGATATCTTCTTTTTAAAAAAAGATATTCGCTTCAACTCTGTGGGGAAAGAAGTAGAAATTAATATGTCCATGAATATCTTGCAGTTTAGCAAATGATAAAAATCAGTTCAGATTGGTAGGAAAAGGATTGGCTGTTCTCTAAATAGTGTCATGACAATTGGCTTTCAAAAATGAATAAATAAAAGATATTAAAAATCCTAAATTGATTAAAGATTTAAATATTTTAAAAAGAAAATCCTAAAAGAAAATGTAGAATATTTTGGGATGAAGAAGGTCTTTATGACTTGAAACCCTGAAGTTATAAAGTTATTTGACAGTTTTGACTGCAAAAATTAGAATCTGAACAGCAAGATACCAAAAAGGAAGAGAAATAATATGAAAAACATTTCCAATACGCAAAAAAATTTCTTACTGAAAACCTCCTACAAAACAATAAACAATCGAAACAAAAAATAGGCAAAGAAATGAGAATGAGAGAGAACACAAGAGCAAGGAGTTTAGAAGCTGTCAAGAATATGGATGAGTACTAACACTGAGCCAAAGCACAGTGCATCTACATCACAGAACCCACCAAAGACTCAGGAAGTATAGGACCAAGTACATCTGGAAGTGGGGTAAGATGGAGCTTAAAAGAGGATGATGGGTTAAAAACCTTAAAAAGGAGAGGGACCCTCCCAGGACCCTACCCAACACTGCGCAATCAGGAGACAGTCCCTCCTCCTCCCCAAGAAAAGGTTTCTCTGGGGAGGGTTAAACAAAGGGTCTCTGGACAGGGGGACAATGGGCACCGTTGAGTGCAGGGATATGCTGAAAAAGGGGGAAATACAGTGAACAAATATAAACTGAATGATAAAACTACCTCTCTCCCTACACACAAACACAGCTTGCTTTCCCCAAGTTGGGTCCCAAAGATTTAAAGATACCAATAGTCAGAGTTTCCCAAGAAAACAGCTGACCTAATCACTCTGTAGTAAAGACCACGTAGCAAACAAGGAGTGCTTGAGGTTCTCCACACACTTGAAGAAAGCCTCTGAAATGAATGATAGACACCAAAACAAATGATCGGAAAACAACTTGGGAGAAACAGGCTCATCAGAGAAGAAAAAAAAAATGCTATCATTTATATTCTCAAAGGGATAAGAGATGGTATTGCATAGTGAAATGACAAGGGGATGTTACATAAAAAAAGGAATATTCGGAGACTAAAAAAAAAAAAATCTTTGAAAATCAGAATCTACCAAAAATGAAAATATGCTCAAGATATGATAGCAAAAACACTATAATTGAGAAAATCTCTCAGAAAGCAGAGCAAAAGACAAAGATACTGAAAATAGGAGAGAGAAAATAAGAGGATTAATCCAGGAGGTCCAACATTTGACTAATAAGATATTAAGAAAGAGAGAATAGAGAAAACAGGAGGGGAGAAATTATCAAAGATGTGATTGGAGAACTTGACATCCAGGATGAAAAGGACCACTGAATGTTCTGTTTCTTTTATGAGTGGCAGTTTCTTGGGTATTTGCTTTACCATAATTATTAAATGATATTTATGAATTTATGGAATATATCTTTTCTGTATATATATTTTATAGTATCTTTTTAAGAAAACAAAATCCCACCAAGTGCCCAACACAGTGAATTAAAACAGATTCACATGATTACACATCATAAAATTTCAAGATACAAAAGGCAAAAGATCCTATAATCTTCCAGAGAAAAAAAAACATTCGACAAAGGGTGAATTTAAAAAGAATGGCACTGTACGTCTCAACAGAAGTTCTAAAGGCAGAAAAGACAGTGGAGCAATGCCTTCAAAATTCTGAGGAATAATTATTTTTAACCTAGAATTCTATGCCTGGCTATGTTCTCAATAAAATATTAGGTTAGAATAAAAACATTTTCAGACATATTCTCTAAAAATTACTTCCTATGCGTCATTTTCTAAGGAAGCTACCGGAAGAGGACATGATGCACTACAGTGAAGGGGTGAGGAAGAGGGATCCAGAAAGAGATCCAACATAAGAGAGGTGAAGGGGATCCCAGGGTAATGGAGAAGGGAAATCCCCAAAGTGAAAGTGTGTCACAGGCTATTGGTGATCACTCAGAATACAGAGAGAAGGAAGAATCAAGGACTCCTTCCAGGGTTCTGGCTTGAACAACCTGGTGAAAAAGCTTGTAAGTAGATAAGAAACACTGGAAGAGCAGGTATGAGAACAGGTATGCTTTTGGACACGAGAATAAGTGGAGATGGTGAATACGAACACAGAATTGACATCAAGGCTAGCAGTACAGAGTCAGTGCTGTCAGTGTAAAGATGGCAAAGTGGAAAAGATCACCCAGGAACAAAGTAAAATGAAAAGGAAGGAAGGCCTAAGACAGAGCTCTGAAAACTCCTAGACTTAAGAGTAGGGTAGAGGAGGAACTGACAAATGAGGAGCCAGAGAGACGGGGGGAAATGAGAATGTGAGGGTATGATGAAAGCCAAGATAAGAGACCGCTTCAAGAAGGATGGCATGTTTAATAGTCAAGGAAAAAGGGGATCTGAAAGTGGCTGGTGAATTTAGGGACAAGGAAAGGCACTGGTGACAAGGGCAGAAATTTCCCCTATTAGATTATCAGAGATTAAAATGATTGCTCTTATAGCTTTGAAGCTATAGAGCAATGGCACTCTCATACACTGTTAGAAATGAAAATAAGCCCCATGTTCTCAATAAGCAATTTGGGGATACCTGTCAAACATAAAATACATATAATCTCTGACCCAGAAATATTATTCCAGCTATTCATCCAACAGAAATACTGGTATAAGTATGCAAAGTAAGTACAATAATGTTCAATGCAGCCCTTTATGTAAAATTTGGTGCAGGGGAAACTACCTCAGCATCAAGAGGAAATACTGATGAATAAATTTAATTAAATAAATGTATCCAATGGATGCCTATGCAGTTGCTCATACATGAAATAGATATGATTATACTAACACAGAATGAATCCATGACATAGAAAGTGAAAATGCATAGATATAGTTCCTATGTATATATAGTTCCTATGTTTCTAAAATGTATATCTAGATATAGACATGCATACATGTTATAATATGACAGCATAAATATATGTTTGTAAATGTATAGATAAAAAGACAAAAATATAAAAACAATTAGAGGTAAAGTCTATGAAATGGTATTCGGGGAACAAATGAGGGCTTTCACTCTTCCACTAGTTGGATTTTTTACAAGAATGTATTTTTATAAATTTTTAAAGATAACCTGAAAGGAAAAGTGAGAGAAGTGAGAATGGCCAGCTGTAGTACCTTACCTTCCCTGAGACAGGTTATTGGCATAGACTTTGCTGACAACATCTTTTAATTTAAATTTTGGGCAAGATTCTCTGTCTTTCTCACAGCCCTCGAAGTGCACAGAGAGGAACAGTTCATTCAGAAGCTGCAGCGCATTTGGGTGGGGCATGTTCGTTGCCGTGCAGATGTTTAGCATTGCATAGAATACTCCCTCTAGCCACTTGATATTGAGGGTTATTCCCCCTACACACCAATGACAAGGGAAATAACAGTTAGCACAACAAAAAAGGTTTGCACAGAACCTGAGATAAACCCTATACTTTTTTCCCAGACAGGTTGGTCATATGAACCTCAAAGTAAGCAAACACTCCTCCTTCCTAGGCCAAGAACCCTTTTTGTGCCCTTAAGACACATCATGTATTAACTCCGCCACAGGAGGACAGGTATGGCTGGTGTGGGCATTGCTAACGGCAAAAGCATCTCTAAGGAATCTCTAGAATGGTTCTTGCCTAGAAGGAGAAGGGACTAGGGAAAACCAGAAGATTAGAGCAGGAAAAACCATTTAGTCCCAGACACTTCCACCTTCCTGTTTAAATAGGCTCTCCCCTCTGGTCATCTCCAGTTCATCCCTATTTCAGCTTTTCCTAACAAGGACTGCTTTTTGCCACACAAAACCTAATAGCTGAGTAAAGTACAGCATAAGGAATATAGTCGATAATATTGTAATAACTATTTATAGTGTCAGGTGAGTACTAACTTGTCAGGGTGATCACTTCATAAGTTATATAAATGTCTAATCACTATGCTGTACATCTGAAACTGATATAATATCGTATGACAACTGTAACTGAAAAATTAAAAAATAAAAATAAAATACGAAAAACCTACCTAAATGGCTGAGAATGTATCTAGCTTGTACTCCCCCCACAACCACCCAATCTTACACACACACACACACACACACACACACACCCACCCAGTCTTACACATACACACACACACAGCCCCCAAAACACACACAGAGAAATTTAATAAGATACCAACAGGCCGAGAGGTAATTTTCAAAAGTGCCAAAAATAAGGTAAGCCATTTTACCAGTAGGATCGTAGGGGCAGGTAGCCTGAAGAATCGAAGGATCTTGGAGAGCAGCTACGATTTCTTTATTGGCCCCCCAGATGTTGACAAAACCTTCAAAACACTGATACTGAGGCCGCAAGATATTGGTGTGGTTCAATAGGAGTTTCAACCTGAAAGGAAAGCCACCAAGACAGGGAGTGCAGGGTCAGGACCGGAATAAACCACGTGATCCACTGAGTTCACGTCCAACCCCAACAGACCCCTGCACAGCACTTCTCAGGGGCAGACGTGGGTGTAGGTCAGTGCTGAGGGCACTACTTATCGCTTGAACTGTTGTTCAGCCATCTGCTTAACACACACTTGCTGAATGTTATCACTTGCCGGGCACTGGGCTAGACGCTAGGGGTACAAAAATAATATTTGACACATGTTCTCAATCACTCTTCATGCTGTTGACTGGTGGTTTCCCTTCTCACCGATGCACAAGGGGAACACTAGTCAGCTTCAAGCAGTAGAATGCAATGCTCTATTGCAGTTCTAAACATTTGCACATCAAAGAAAAATGTCCCACCAGCAAGTATGGTTTTCAAGTGGGGAAGACACAATCAGAAGGGCCAGCTGTGTTCTTCTGCAGGTGAAGCTGCTTCCACCTTACTCCTGGGAACAGCCAGCTCCAAGAGGTAGGAGCTGGGTGGAAGTGGGAGGCAGAAGCCAGAGCTGAGGAGATGGAGCAGTCCTGCCAATTCTGTGCTCACCCTAACAAGATACCTGGGTATTGGGACGGCAGCTACAAAGCTGTACACAATGCAGGCTTTTTCAAGGCTGGTTTGAATTTCTGAGCAGATATTAGACAGCTGAGACGGCAGGCAGCAGAGGAATATCACGTTGGCCCAATTCACCAGACGAGAGTTATTGTAAGAGCACTGGATTCCCAGTTTCTGGAACTCATCTGGGAAGAATAAAGGAAGATAGAAAGATCACAGTACAAAGGAGTTTGACCTAAACCTCACCTGTGGGGAGAAGAAGATGACAATTATATTATCTCAAGTCTCGGTGCCACATAAATCAGAAGAGATTTCCTCATGCCTTCTAAAATCCACACAACAATGCCCTACCCTCACTGCTAAAGCAGCTGGTGCCACCACAGTAGTGCTTGAGATGATAGTTCATCCTTATCTTACTTTCAGACCAAATGCTAGAATTTTTCAGATTTTTTTTGAGGAAGAAAATAATCTGAAAGAAGCCTTCTGCTCCAATTTACTGAAGTCTTATCATGTGCAAAGTACTTTATATGCATTATCTAAGGGAATCCTCACAAGGACCTTATGAGGCAGAGACTAGTGTAATTTCTATGTTATAGACGAGGAAACTGAGGTATCAAAAATTTATGTTATGAGGCCAAAGTTACACAGCTAACTGGCTTGAGTTGGTAGGAAAAACTGAGAGTGGAAGAGGATAGGGCAGATATTGGGAGGAGTTTGGGAAAATATACTTAGTTTCTGTCTTAACAATTTAATGTTAAGATATTTATAAAAGTGAAGAGAAATGTGATAAAGCAGGTAGTTGCATAAAAACACCCCTTGGCAGCAAATCACTTGGTTGCACTTATTGTAACATATATTTTCAAAAGTGAAAATGTAAATACGGTAGTATGTTATATTATTGAAAAAGAGAATATTAGACACTGGAGAGGTCACTTCTTATCTTAAACATTAAGAGTACACGATAAGTTTGATGTTTAGATTATCTGGGTACTCAGGTACTTCCAGGTAGGAAGTTTGGAAAACATGCACATCCATCCTTCTTTTCATATGTGCTTCTCAGAAGTACCTAGATGCCGAGCATTTTGAATTCTTGCTTCTTTACACAAGCAACATGCAGTGGTATTCAAAAATGTAACTTTATTATTAATAAATATATTGCTTCCCAAATAATATATATACTTTATTGAAATATTATTTATACTAATCCTATTGATGAGATTTTTTAAATTTGCCTAGAGTTGGTAAGGTTTTTTTAAAGCTTCCTTAATAAAGAAAGAACATTTACAAATCAGTAAGAAAAATATAGGCACTCCAGCAGAAAAAATTGGACAAAAAGAACTCAAAAAAATAGAAATAGACATAAACCTATAAAAAATACTCAACTATTCTAGTGATCAGTGAAAGATGTATTAAAATGAGAAAAATTTTAAAAGCATATTAAAATAGTGATTTAAAAAAAAAAAGATGCCTAGAATTGACAAGAATGTAGAGAAATGGGTGTTCTTACACAATCCTGGTGAAAGTTTCCACCCGAACTACCTTTTTTGAAAGTTGATTTGAAAAAATACATTAGAAGTTTCTTTAAAAATCAAATATACCTACCATATGACCCATCTATTCCACTCCCAGGTGTTCACCCAAGAAAAATAAAAGTATTCGTTCACACTATTATTTGTACACAAATGTTCATGGCAGCTTTATTTATAACAGCCAAAAACTAGAAACAACTTGAATGTCCTTCAACAGATGAATTAACTGTGGAATACTAATACAATGAATACTACTCAGAAACAAAAAGGATATCAATACAGGAAACGACATGGATACATCTCAAAATAATCGTATGAAGTGAAAGAAGTCAGACCAAACAAAAGTACAAACTGTATAATTCTATTTGTATAAAATTCTAGAAAATGCAGACTAATCAACGGTGACAAATCAGATCAGTGGTTTCCTGGCTGGGGGACAGACAGACTGCATGCAGGGAGGTAGAGAGATAGGAATTACAAGGAACCTTTGGAGGTGATGGATAAGTTCATTACTTTGATAGTGTTGATAATTTCACAGGTGTATACATGTGTCAAAACATCAAATTGAATACTTTAAAAATGTGCAGTTTATTACACATAAATATCTTAATAAAGCGACACCTATTGACAGGGTAATTTTATTTTTTAAGTTATGTGCAAGGAAATCCAACTAAACAAAGCACAGTTACATAAATTATCATATAGCTATACTTTGTAATACTATACAACTTTAAAATCATGACTTTGAAAAAAGTTAAATAATATGAGAATATGCTCATAATACATTCAATGAAAAAGGCAGAATATAAACAATTTGGTATAGTGTCCATTACTGATATAATCTGAGATAATCAGAAAAAAAATAGAAAGGAAATGATAACCCCGGTAAGGGAATTATAGGTAGTTATTATTTACTTCCACATAGAGTAATTTTATAAATTTTCTATTGTATGCACATATTATTTTACATTTTAAAAAACTGTCGAAGCATAATTTACATACACTGCAACACGCAGATCTGAAGTACATAGTCTGCTCATTTTTAACAAATATATGTAACTCATACCTCTTTCAAGATACAGAACATTTAACTCATACCTCTTTCAAGATACAGAACATTTCTACCTCCTTGAAAGTTCTCTCAGTCTCCCCAGAAGCAACCATTACGGTTTTTATCGCCATAGATTAGTAAATGAAATCATTACAAAACACTTTTAAAAATTCATTAAATGTTATTTTTAAAAGCACAAGGCCAAATGTTTGGAACCGGTTAACACCCACCAGACTCTAACTAGTCCATTTAAAAAGTCTGAACTCTGTTTGGAAAGCTTCTCTGTATCAAAGACCCAGAAAGATGTCTCACCACCACAGGCACAGGAAGGAGAGATGGCTATAAAACATTTAAGTGGAAAAGAAAGTTGTTTTAAGGAAGAAGTTAAAAAAACCATCTTCCTAGCTTTTCTTGGGGCTAGCAAGCTGAGAATTCAGCATGCTACACACGAGGATTCCTTTCCGACATAGCCCCATCAACACCTAAAGAGCGCAACCAAACCCCCTTTCTGCCACATACAGCTCCTCACCCAGGGCCTCTGGCCTCCGAGTGGAGATCCGCAGCTTCTGAACAGGAATGGGGACAAGCCGAAGGAGTACACGAGCCAGCTGCTTCCCGAGGTGGCCGCCTCCAATGATGCCCACCTTGAACTCATCATCATCAGGAGTGTTGTCAAGAGATCTACTCAAGGGACGTCTGGAAGTTTCCTTCTTAGGTAATGATTTCCTGGAGAATGAACACACAGGTGCATACATAAATACACACTCACTTTCAACCTCTGACGTTCTTTGCTTTAACTTCCTCATTTGGTAGCCTGGTGGCACCTTAAGTACTTCAGAGACAAGGCATTCCAATTATATACCACTTATCCAGCATCACTAGGGAAGGAAATGTTCCTCAGTGAATTTTCCAGAAAGTAAAGCATACCCCTTCAAAGGACAAAAACTTGTTTAAAACATTTTTTAATGAACTTTTTTGTTACTTGTGTTGTGCATTTCCCTGCCTTCTTAAACACAAGGTCTGAATATTCAACCTGTTCTTTAAGTAGGAACCATCATTGTGAACAGCTGCCGTTATACGCATCCTGAAACACTGTTGGCCTGTTCCTTGTTTCCTGTGCGCTCTTCCTGATGGCAAATTTCCATTGCCATCAGGATGAACACGCCCTCTCCTACCATACACCCCATACACCTACTCTTTCTAATTTCCTATTTCAGTTCTGCACAGATCCAGGAAACCAAGTAACTTAGCTTTTTTCAAACATGTGATTTATCAAAGTAAATGGTTTATAAGGGAAAACAGACCTGAAAAACTGAGGATCAAGGATTCTCTCTTTCCAGAGGTTCATTTACTGTTGGTTCTGGATTGTTCCCTTGGCCCAAGATGAACAAAGTCTGATCCCTGAACGCATAAGGCATTGTTTTATGTTGTTATATGACAACCTTATATTTGTTCTGTGTTTCTGTAAACATTGGAGTTTTTAAAATTAAAGCTCTGGAGTTTCCATGTAAGTATCACAAGCCATATTCTATTTAAGGCTTCTTTCTCTCTTGGTTGAAAAGAGAGTGTTTTCTCATGGTGTCTGATCCTTCCAAACATAAAATGCCTCCTGGAAGTTTCATGTATTGGTTTTTCACTACTCTTGGATGCAACCAATAGGTCTGTGCATCCTTATCAATCAGCCAATCAGCAAACTCATTGAGTGGCCTGCCTCCTTGGGTATATACTGTATCCATAACATGTTCAATCAGATCTGGTCCCACCATTGAGTAGTTAATCTAATTTTGGAGAAAAGAAAAGTGAGAAGTAGACTTGAGCCGGAGACAAATGCTCCAAGAATGACCTAGAGTTACAGAATACAGGAGCTTAGTCCTAGGTACCTGGCTCTTACATGCCCCCTATTTAAGTTTCTGAAGCCACACTGTACAAAGATATCAGAAGTCAGGACTGACCTGAAAGCTTCTTTGCAAATCAGTATTCCTGGTTTCAAGCAACTCATCTGGCCATAGGGGGACCCCCAAAGTCCCAGGTAGCTTTCCTGTGAAGGAGCATTCCACTACTAGCTCAGCCTCCAAATGAGGAATTGATTCTATTTTCAGCCAATAGCCATGGAATGGCTAGATGTTAGTAGCTGTGGAAGACAAGCTAGTCCTCTTGATGAGTGAATGAATGAATGAATATATGAATGAATCAATCATCTAATCGAGCTACCCACTGAAAGGAAATCGCCACTAATCCATGCTTTATTACAAAACCACAGCCAAAGGGCCCTGGTATACATTTCCTTTGTGTTTTTTAGACCAGGAGTAATTGACTGTGGTGGGTTGGAAAAGGTAGAAAGACACTCCCCTTGCCAAAGTTATCCTCCAATATAAAAAGTTTAAGTCGTTTAGATTCTCCACAGTGAGATTCTTCTGCATCTGTCTGACCCTGGAGAACTAGCTTACCTCAAATTATAGAGGAGCTTGCAGAAGAAGGTTGCGTGGGCACAGGCCTTGATCATAAGCCCCCGAGAACGACCCTGCAAATACAGCCAGCTGCGGTCTTCCTCTTCCATCCCATACTCAAACTGCAGAGATTCAAGGCCCTCTAGCAAGTCCATTTTCAAGCCACCATCTCCTGCGGTGACAAAGAGCAATCAGTTTGGCTCCCTGTCCTGGAAGAAGAGGGAATCTATACCCAAGTGTATGCCCAAGCCACAAGCTCTCATAGTGGTGGGCTTCAGCACCTCACTCCTCCCTGCTCTGAACTTGCAGCTCTCATCCACTTCTTTGTTTCAGCGTGAGTCCTGGAGGACTCCTAAGCACTGACTGACCATGAATTGAGAATACTCGAATTCATTAAAAACCCGAACAAAAATTCAAAGTAATGTTCCTCCACATAGGCTACAGGCTCTTCTTTCAGTAGGTGCCACTTACACTAGCAGTGGGCTTCACAGGTGCTCTTAGGCTGGGACTCCCTCCTATTCCCTCCTAAGTTTCAGAAATAGAACTGAACACTGAGACTGTGTTTCAAAGAAATTCTTCCCTTTCACTAAACTGTGTTCCCCACAGAAAGAAAAGAGCTAAAATTAAATATCATGGTCCCTTGTGTAGAACAGAGACATCTAAATTTTAGAAAATGAAGCCAGAGAGGTATAAGCCCATCTACATATATCTCTCACCACCCCAACTGAAAAGATGGCTCTGCTTCTCATTACTTCTGGTCCCCAAGGGTAATAACTACATTTCCAAGGAGAATTACCCAAGAAAATTGTCATTATGACTCATTAGCTACCAGATTACTTCAGTCTCAGAGTCTTAAAGGGGCCAGCCTCACTTAGAGGCTCTCCCCACCTGCAACATGAGGACACAAATTTCTTTCACTACTTCTTAGTGCTACACAAGGGCAGTGTGGGACTCTCTTTTCCCAACAGAGAGTCTGGACTACTAGATTTTTTTTGCAGACTGGAACGTCATATAGATCTTAGCCATACACATGGAGTTTTCAAAACCCTTATTTTTGTGCTCAAGAAATCAATGAATAAGATAAGTTCTGGGGATCTAATGTACATTATGATAACTATAGTTAATAATACTGTTATATATTGTATACTTGAAATTTGCTAAGAGTAGATCTTAAGTGTTTTCACCACACACACACAAAAAGGTAGCTTTGAAATGATAGACATGTTATTTAACTTGATTGTAGTAATCATTTCACAATGTCTATCAAAATACCATGTTGTACATCTTGATACATACTATTTGTCAATTATATCTAAATAAAACTGGGGAAAATGATATCAAAATTCTTTTGTATAGCAATAGTGAAATTGAGATCAGAATTCACAACTACTTGTCTCTAATCTGCATTTAAATTAAAAATGGTTTTTACTGAGGCGAAATTCACATAACATAGCCAATTGAAAGTGAACAATTCAGTATGTTCACAATGCTGTGCATCCTCTACCCTTCTTTAGCTCCAAAACATTTTCACCCCCCACAAAGGAAACCTGTACCCATTACAGAGTTACTCCCACCCTGCAATCAGCTGGAAACCACCAATCTGCTTTTTGTCTCCATAGAGTTACCTTTTCTGGATATTTCATATGAATGGAATCATTCAATGTGTGACTTTTCATGGCTGGCTTCTCTAATCCCTTTTATAGGATGGCTGCATCACTCTTGTTCTGTTTTTTTGTTTGTTTGTTTGTTTTGTTTTCTGTCTGTGGTTTCAGTACTTGTCTTGGTGTTTGTTTTTCTTTAATTTTCTTTTTTTTTTTTTTTTTACTCCTACAGCACCTGGTATTCCTGGGTGGTCTCTCATCCAAGTACTAACCAGGACCAAACCTGCTTAGCTTCCGAGATCAGACGAGATCAGGCACCTTCAGGGTGGCAGGGCTGCAGACTTGAAGAGTCTTGAAGAGACTGAAGCAGTCTCCAGTACTTGAAGAGTGTGGAAGTTCTCTGCAGACTCTCAATCTCTTTAAAAGCAGTCTCCAGTACTTGAAGAGTGTGGAAGTTCTCATCAAGTCTAAGAAGCACTTCCTTAGACCAAAACAGTGGGTGGGTAGTTCAACCTAATGTCACAGAGTGATATTTCCTGATCTGAAGGAGGAGCTCCGAATGTCCCAGCTCAGCATGACCAACACAGCACAGGTTAACCTGTACGAGCGTGGACTCCGGGCCCATCCTTCACTTCCTCATTCTCAAAAATGGGGATCCAGTGGTTGTGGCTTCATTACATGTTAAGTAGGTTAGACTGACTTATATTGTTCAGAATTTTCTCTCTGTGTGTGTTTCTGGTTAGGGTGTGCCACAAGAGAGATTTTTGTGTAAGATCTGGAGGGTGGAAGTGAAGTGGCAGCCAGTGTGTGTTTATGCTTGTGAGGTTGGGGCAGCCACTTTGGTTGTCTGCTGGTGATCCTGTTGGTGAGGGGCAGTAGCTGGGCCTGCAGCTGCTATACTTTCCCCTGCACCCCGCTGCAGTTTTTCACACTCCCGGGACAGGTCTGTGTTCAGCTCTGTGAGATAGGCCACCAGCTAGCTTCTCCTGCAGGACACCCACTTTAAGACTAGAGGCAGTAAGAGCTGACACAGGTTCCAATACATTCCCATGGGCTCCAGCTTGTCTTTGCTCTCCCCTCACTTTATACCCATCTTGCCTTCCCCACCGTCTGCCCCATGGATTTCCAGCTCTACACCAGCCATGCAGATAACCCAGAGACTGTTTAACCAACCTTAATTCTTGAGTAAGGTCAAACTCCTGTAATGAATCCCACATACAGATTAGATAGACAGACACGCAGACTGTATTCCCAGTGGTCTGTTCCTCTAAATGAACCCTGACTGATATGCTAACTTAGTTACCACTGTTATTTGAAGACCAGCCAATAATTTTAGCACAATTTAGCAAATTAAACTCCTGTTTCTTCAACAGCAAGCGTGATGATCGATCAGGAAAGGAACCAAATACGAATTACCTGGAATTGCAAAGTGGAGGAATGAGATTTGAAGTCCGAACCCCTTAGAGCAGGGCAATTCTTTGTTGTGGAGTCTGTCTTGTGAACTGTAGGATGTTAGCGGCACCCCTTGCCTCTATCTACTAGTAGTAGCAGCATCCAACTGTGGCGACAGCGTCTCCAGACACTGACACACCTCCTGGGGGGCAAAATTGCCTCCAGTTGAAAACCAGGTTGCCTTAAAGCATTCCGTATGCCTCTGTACCAGCATCTTCTCTTCTTCCTATCTCATTATCCACTATGCAATCACAGAAGCATAGAATTGTACAAGCTCTGAGAGAATCAGGCACTCCTCTTACAGACTAAGATAACGAGTCCAGAGAGAAAGGGACTCACCCACCATCACACAGCTTGTCAATGGCAGAGCTGGGACAAGAGGCCAGGTCTTTTGTCTCCCAGCTCAGTGCTCCTGTCAACTCACATGGTCCTGCTCTCTCTAAGCATCACTGCTCCATAACCTGACATGTGTTGACAGGCTGCTGAATGCAGTCACTGAGGCTGATCTGTAGTGGTCCCAAGAGACAGGGCAATTATTTCAGTGTTTTACACAAAACAACCGGGAGGGAAAGGCGGCACCAAGGAAGAAACAGCTTTATTGGGAGTCTACGCATGTCTGGAAAAACCCAGTTCAGTCACAGAGAAGAGAGGCTAATATTGGTACAGTGCAGGAATCTAGCATTACATAATATCCTCTTGAAAGCCAGGTGTGAAACTAAAACCATGTTAATATCCTAACAGTCAGAAATGCTGCTGAGTTTAGCCCTGGTGAAACTTCTGGAATTGCTAGTGAAATGAGATTTGTGTACAAAGAGAGCTCTCCAGCATTGCTGAATCCAAGCTCCATATGAGGTTGTGGGTCTGGGGTGGGGGAAGGAGAGGAAAAGATAATGGGGATGTTCTCATCACCCACAGAAGGTCATCTCAGTCTGCAGATGAGAGAACCACAAGGTTTTAGACTGACAGTAGACCGGGGCAGCAGAGGGATACTGGCTGAAGAAACACAATATCTAGGCCATCTCTGTGCAGTCTGGTGTGAGGGCATTTCCAGCAGGTCCTGGCAACAATGGCACCCCTTCCTGAGGCCCCTGGGAGAGAGCCATTTGGGCTCTGTTCTGACTTCCTTCACAGCAGAACTGCAATGTCCAGCATCAAGTCCAGGGTCGTAATTAGCTGAGCAGAATGGAGTAGCCACCCTATGACACCTGCCTGCCCCTCTTAGTCTAGGAGACTTCTTTTCCAGAGCAGTCGCTTTCCTTAGACCAAAAGAGATCTTGCCCAATGTGGGTCCAATCTAGAAATGACTCCCACCTTCATGTGAGCACCAGGTGGAGAGAATCTTTCTCATGAGCCAAAGACTTAGATCTTGGCCCTTAGATGATGGCTCTTGGACAGAAGATCAATTGGAAGCTGTCTGTGTCAAGGCGCTGATTTCTGTCCCAGTAGTAGCTGGTGCTGCCTGTAGATGATGGGCCCAAGCAATATGATTCTGTAACTCTCCCAAAGAAGAGTGCTCTCTCTACTTTCACAGGCAGGAAAGAAGGAAATGAGGCAGGTTTCAGGGTAGCTAATGCCACTAATTCTTCCATCGAATTTGCTGTGGAAAGAACAAACAATGGTCAGTTTTCACTGATTCCAAATAAAGCAAGGCTCACAGCTAGGTACTGTAAGGAAAAGAGAAGAATTGAAAAATTTCTTAACTATGTGGTAGCATTCATTTATTCAGAATCCAATTAGACACCTATTCTGTATCTCACAAGCCTGAGTTTGGGCATTTATTCCAGTCCTGTCCTCCTCAGGACCAAGATTCACTAGCTTCTGATGACCCCCAATAGGTCCCAAAAGATATAACATGGAACTAAGATCGACATTAACAAAAAGCTCAACAATTTCATGCTATGAGAGATAGCTAGTTGTGTTCCCCGAATAGCTAAAATCTATTTTACCCCCTTTTTACTTCCAACGGGTAGGTCCTATCCATCCTCAGGAAGCTACGCAGTCTGGATATGCTGAATCCAACATCTGCTTCCATACTGCCAGCAGTTGGTCCCTCCTGCCTGCTAGGTTTAACAATTATCAGAGCATTGTAGTTAAGTCTCAGCCCGAGGTCCCCAGATGACCCCTGTATACACTTGATGCTACTCTGTGAACCGTTTGTCTCCTGAGACGGCCGGCGAGGTAAGCTACAGTTGCTCACCGAGCTGCTGAGAATGGCATCAATTTTCTCCTCCTCTGCAGACCCTTTATCCACCTTACTCCTGTATGCTAGCAACTGCTGACGATCCTTCAGGTCTCGGCAAGTCTGTAAACCAAGAAGACAAATAATAAGACCCCCAGTCAGCTTTCTCTGTGAAGGTCTTTTTCTTTCTGTCACTCCCACATCAAGCCAAGGTTCAGGAAGAGGCTGGGAGGGTACAGTGGGATGACAGCGGGGTTGAGTCCCAGTGGAATTCCATGTTGGAGTGAAGTCTACAGAGCTTATGTGGCTTGATTCAGTTCTATGAATTCCCCGAGTGCAGCAAATTTACAAAAGCACAGAGAAAGCAGTCAGAGAGCAGGGAAAATAACACAGGAGTGCTGGCCTCCAAACTAACTCTTGCCACACTATTTTGTCCATTAAGTCAAAATTGATAGAAGTATCTCTGGATACAGGACAGAGAATATCATAATCCCCACTCTTCACTGAGGGGCTAACTCAGAGTTCTTATTTCTTGGGGACTCACATCAATGACAACATCATGGCACTTGAACTTGGTAGCTAAGTTCAACTTTGTGTCCACATCTTCCACCAGATTGACATACTCTTGTAATATCTGTGGGGAGAGGTACTTCTGATTAATGATTCCCAGACCCATAAAACACAGAGCTCTGAAAGGTAGAAAAAGAATCCTAATGAAGGCAAAAGAGTTTGTCTACAATACCTGACGTCTACAATTCTCATCATCAGGTGGGGGTGTAGCTCGGGGGTAGAGCATCTGACTACAATTCCCATCATCAATCTCGGGACTAGTTCTGCAATGGGAAATGATGTGGATTCCAGACAGCACTTCCGTGCTCCCTCAGGAAAGGAGGGAAGAGCACGTTCCTCTTTATCCTAGAGTGGATCCCATGTCAGCAGCAGGCGTGCTCTAGGTCTGATCCAGCCCTGTGCCCATTGCACCCCGGTGTCCCTTCTCAGTGAGTTCTCCTTTTCCATCGTTTGAACAGTATTGCCATAGTCCACATGGCTAAACACAGGAGATGCTCCTCAAAGAGGGCATATTACCTCTCAAAGGCAGAAGAGAACTTCCCTCCCTGACCTTTTCTATCTCAAGACTCAACATAGCCATTATGTTGCCTTTAAGGGAAGACCAGTATAGGCCAGGTCTCTGACCAGTAAGAGGCTACAAGTTAGGTCTCCTAGAGGGTCCAATACCCAGCTCTCCTCAGGAGCCATTACCTGGACAGGAGCACTGTTCTTGTGTAAAATTTCCACAACCCGATGGAAACCGATGGGTGCTCTCTTCTTGGTGTAGCCCAGCCAGTTCTGAAAAAGGTAAATGGCAGAAGTTAGCTAGGCCAGTCATGAACTCAACACTCTCTGAGATAGTCTCCCTACATTTTAAGGTCAGACTATAATAATGTGGTGGTGAGACTGGATGGACTGGGGTGGGGAACAGGAAACTGAAGAGATGAGTTTTTCAGAAAAGTCAAGGAACTTAAGGGGGTGGAAAAGAGTCAAAGGTATGAAATAAGTCTTAGATTTACAGGCAATGATGTAGAAAAAAGTCTGTGAAATAGGCCTAAATGAAATGAGTAAATTTACCTAACAATACTTGTAGTATGAACTTAACTGGGTAGAAAAATCCTATCCTTTACAGCTTTATGTTAGATAAAGGTATTTATTTATGAATTCATGAAGCAAGATATGGAAAGTACTCATCCAACTTTTAATGGTGTTTGCCTCGAGGAATGGAATGAGCTAGAAGGCAGACAACTCTCTATATTTTTATACAGTGTTTGATTTGGACACAAGCATGTATTGGTAGTTAATGTAACTAATTAAATAACAAAAGGGAAAAACAAAATTCTCAAACTCATAATGAAAAATGAATATTTAAAATGTCAGCCAGTAGAAACATGACAATCAAATGCAATGCAAGATACTTAATTAAATCCTAACAGTGAACAAACACAAAAACAAACAAAAAAGTTCTAATTTAAATACAATGTATAATATTTAAATAACACAAATATATATAATAGCATCATATTAATGTTAACTTTCTTGAGAGTGTTAATAACATTGATTTAAAGAAAGATAAATGATTAAATTTTTAAAGAATAAAGAAGTGTCATGATGTCTAAAACTTACTTTCAAATTTCAGCAAAAGAAAAAGGCATATTTGCTTTCTCTTTTTCTATACACATACACATAGAAAAAGAGAAAGCAAATATAGCAAAAACATTAATAAATTAATGAAGTAGGTAAAGACAATTAGTATTCATTACGTTATTGTTTCAGCTTTAGGTTTGAAATTTTGAAAAATAAAAAGCTGGAAGAAAATTGTAAGCCAGTCAGTAGAACCTGGGACTCCCATGAGGCCTGGGATAACAAGATGACATGTCCAAGTCAGCAGTGGCACAAAGCCATTCCAGGGAACCCACCTTTGTGGTAAAGAGGGCATCGACATCATGCCAGGCTCGAAGCTTGGCACGAGCAGCCAGAGCTGTCAGCACATACTGTTTATCTGGGATCTAGAAAGCAGAGACCAAAAAAGATTAAGGGGAAGGAGAAATGTACTAGGGGAGGTACATGAGAATTCTGGAAAAGATAGAGAAAAATATACTATAGTGCTGATTCTGCCCTTTAAAATCCATAAATCTCTTGGTCCTCAAGAACCCCTTAATTTCCAAGCCCCAGCACTGCAGCACTGTGGCAGGCCATTCAATTAAAGCCTTATCTCACTTCCTACAAATACATTCCTTTCCACCTTTAATCCTGAATATCAAGGGACTTACTGTACAGGGTTACAAAGCAACATCCACTCCACGTAGTACCATGACACTACTTTTACCAAAACACTGACCAGTTTATATATACCTTAAATGTCTTCTTCAGATTGACCGGACTGCTGAATGTCCCCTAGGATGAAAACAGAGAAGGAATTTTAGTGTTACTGACTTTCCCAAATACCTACCAACCCCATTTCTCTTCCACTACCTAGACTCTATATTTCACTCTGTAACCATTTAAACCCAGAAATTATTTTAAAAGAAAAGCTCCATCGGGTATTATTAGATGTCACCACAACCTAACTTAATGGGGCTAGATTAATAAGTATGGTGTTTTCCCCAATTTTATGCTAATCCAAATGTCCATCTGTGATCATTAAATTCAAACCTCTTCAAAAAAATTTGTTTTAAAGTAGCCACAGCTACCCGACACCCTGCTGCTTTTCTCTACACTGTGTAAACTGTTTGAAATGATGAACCTTTGAATAGACAGCTATAGGACCAGCACTATTGATACAGAATGTGCTATGGTACATGCCAGCTCACTGGAAGCCACGCAAGCCCTTACAAACCTCTTTTTCTCTCTCGTCTCACCCCTGCTGTGGGCCAGGAAAGCATCCAAGTGGATTTCTGAGAACTATATACACCCACTGTTAATAAAAGTACATAAAAATACTGGCTTCAAACTAGGTTCCTCGGTACACTGAGTGTGTGGGGTCTTTCACATTTTGTCTGTACCTCGGCCTCCATGTAGTGGTAGAAGCAGGAGTAGAAAAGCGTCGTCACTAGTGGCATGTTGAGTATGGAAGCTTTCCGAGGGTGCTTCCGGAAGATCTCGGTCTGGCCCGCTGATTCCAGGTGTCGATCATTTGCCTGTGGTGGAGTGAGCCAAGCGAAAAAAAGAACAATGTCCATGGATTAGAAGCAGGAGAGAAACCTTTAATACTACAGTAGCTGTGTTTCCTACTCTAGAAAGGGGCAAGGAAGAGAAAAAGAAATTGCCCAGGGTATCCCAGGGGAGTTTCAAATCCGTAAAATGATGACAGATCTAATTTGGATGGAGGAAAACTAGTAGTGGTGATGAAATGGGAATTCTGGGATGAAGAGGAAATACTGCTGAGTTAACAGTAGGTGAGAAGAAAAATGATGCCTGAGAACAATGGAGGGAAAGGGGTTAACATGGAGAGGGAAAAAATGAAAGGCTCTCTGAGACTGTAACAGAAAATGACATATATGGCCAGAACAAAGATGTCTCCTAGATGCTAAATAGCATTGAACATTGGAATTGAAGCAGAAACGTAGAGACGAGGAGTCTAACCTCAATAATGATCTGACGTTCCAGGAGTGTATAATGGTCTTGTATGTGTGCAGAATCTTCTGCTGAAAATGGCAAACTGGTAGAAGGCCAGAAGGTTAGTACCTGTTTCTCTACTCAAACAGGAAACAAACCCAACTAAACCAAATCACCACTGTAAGCATAAAAGGCTCACTGTGCTTCATAAATCTGATCTCAATTCACCTTAGATCATCCCTAAAAGGCAGAGAAACAGAGCAGAGGATACAGTAGACCTTGGCTGGGATTTTGTATTTAAGGTTTTGCTAATTCAAGATGGATCCTAAAAGTCCACAAAATATATATAGTCATTAGCGATTTTGTTGAGAAATGAATTAGAATCCTCTCATTGTGGAAGCTAGAATGTTCGATGGATCACTTAGCTAGTGAGTGAGCCACCCACTGTCTCAGATAAGTGTGAGCCGCAGCTAAGTTTTAGAAGAGATAAAGCGAGATAGCAGTAAGTTCCAGTTACTACAGCATCCTAATGTCTCTTTGTTTACCAGAGGCCATATGACACAGTTCAGTATTTGGTAACATTAAAATTAAGGATTGCACTGACTGACATAAACAAATTTCTAAATGTAAAACCTGGAAACCATGTCACATGAGGAATGACTGAAACAGCTGTGAATACTGAACCCGAAGAAGCAAGGTCTGTTGGGTACACTCTATATCTGTCTTAAAAGATACAGGGAAGTAAGATTCAGTTCAATTAGGGAATCACCTTCCAATCATGAAGGTTGTCCAACAACAAAATGAGCTACTTCCAAGAGCAGCTACTTCCATTACTCTGGAAGAGTAATGTGTGGGGCTGGTTTTTACAAGGACTTAGTCTGGGTGAAAGCTCGTACTGAATCAGTGCTTCTTAAGCTTTGTGTTTTCAAGGACCAGTTAACATTGAAAATAATATGTAAGGTAAAGTGTTACCAACTTTTTATTTTAATACATAAGGTAATAAAAAGAATTAAAGTCCATTTTACTACCAAAAAAGAAAGGGAGGGAAAAATTTTCAGAATAAAAGGCAAGTCTTTCAATTAAATAAATTTAGCTTTAGAAAAAAACTCTCTATATCATCTTAATTTTTCTCAACTTACCACCGATCAATGAAAATTCTTTTGGGGACTAGTGTTTGGAACCCCTGAGTAAGAAAATCTTTAATGATACTTATGTGGTCCATTATTAGCCTCTCCCTTCAACTATCTATCCATTCCACTCTCTTTCGGTCTCTTCCCTATCTATCCATTCCACTCTCTTTTGATCTCTTCGTCTGCCTGAGAGTATTTATACTTAAAAACATTTCTCCCCCATACTCACCCAATGCAGGTCTTAAGAAATTCTTTTCGTTTCTCAGGGTCCTGTATGTTCAAGTGTTCTCGATAATGGGACAGCTACAAAAAACAGAGAAAGGCCTTGATATATTTTGCCTTCTTAGAAGGATGAGGTAGCTCTGTAATTAGACTTTCCACGCTTAAAAACTAAATTCTTCATTATCGGAGATTTCTTCTCAGTGTGGATTGAGTGTGGGGGTAGGGGGAGGGCAAAGAGCGATTCAGAATCACTATCTGGTTTATCTATAACTGCAGTATACATTACGATTATTTACACTTAAATTTAAACTAATTAAATTTTTAAAAATTCAGGTCCTTAGTTGTACTAGTTACTTTTTAAGTGCTCATTAGCTACATGTGATTAGTGGCTTCCATATTGGACAGCACAGATATGGAATGTTCCCATTATTATAGGAAGTCCTACTGGACAGTGCTGACCTACAATAAAGCACTAAGTAGATGGAACAACTAGCTTTACCTTGAAGTTTGGCTTTAGCTTCAGTATTTAACCAAAACTAGCTTTTGCTTCGGCCTTAGCCTTTGAAAGGCAGAAGGACTAAATACCTACCTTCAATGTTATTTTTGGCATCCTTGACCTTGTACATGATCAATGGTAGCATGATCCTGTAAGTATCTAACAATTAACAATTATTGGTAACATGAATAGGGCATGTCATTCTGATTCACTGTTGATAGCTAAATACTCACATTCGAATACTATAGGTTCTAAATATAATTCTGAAAGAAAATCTTATGTGCTTTTTATTTTAAAATTCTAAAAAATGAACTGAAGTTTAAATGATGCAATAATTAATAATGGTTGTGAAAGCTATAAATTCACGTAAAATTATTAAAAACTTTCTGAGAATTAAAAAAATAGATTGACGGTTAATATGAATATTATGAGAATGAACTGGCTCTAGGAAGGACAGTATATCCTTTTAGAGCCAACAGATAAGTATAAGGATGTGAATGATACATTATATCATAATCTAATCTTTGTAAAATATCTAGTATATATCTGGTATATAATCATTTCTAATATTAAAGAAAGTAACCTATAAGAGCTGTAATTTTTTGGCTTTAAGTCTTTCAAAAAAAAATCCTACTTAGGAAAGCTTCATATTCTGAGGATAAACTTAAAGCAAACTACCAGCTTTGCCACTTCCAAAGTCTACGAGGTTGGAAAACTCCAAATTTATATATAGCAACATGCATGATAAATCATCTTTAATTCAAACATAATAGAGAATATGAAAAAAATATGAAACTTTTATATAAAAAGTTACCTAAAACACATTTATTTTCACTAATCAAACTTTAAAACAACAAACTTTCTAAGAATGCTACATGAAGAAACTTCCTTATAGTTTCAAACCTATGGAGATTAAAAACAAACAAAAAGCTTTTCAAAATGATTACTTATAATCTGTCAACCATTTTCATTAAATTAAAGGATTTTTGAGATTTTTTTTACCATGACTTAAAAATTAAGTACATGTTCTTTTTACAAAATGTTACAAAAGATTTTTTTTCTGAATTATATTCTGTTGTGCAAAGAAGTTTAACATTATTAAATGTGCCAGCTGTATGTGAATACCGATATCACCACATATGTGTGGTACAGTGACTAAAGGAACAACCTTGCTATTTGTTGATGGTGCTGGGAAATTCTTACCCCTACATTATGTCACATTTTAAAAAATGGATCACTAAAGATTTACTAATACGATTAAGTTTACGGTAAAATTTCAGATTTATTTTCATATTCCAGGAGTTTATTCTATGATGGTGAAAATCTCCCCAAATCTATTAATACTCGGTTCCTGAGCTCTTGGCCAAAACGTGTATTGCATGTACCACGAGGTTGACCTATCTTTCTTCTTGACCTACATCTGATTTCCTATCTCTCTTAGCTTTCAACATTTTCTTTAGTATTAGAAGCCAAAACACAAAAGTTCCTATAGACCAGAAGTTGAAAACAACTAGAAACTAAAACTCAAGTACAAATTGATCAGGCCATTTTTCATTCATTTATTAAAGAAAAAAATATTTATTCAATCAAAAGAGCACTTAAAAAATAATAAAACAGTGCATCATTTGGATTAAGTTTTCAGGTTTCCCAGATACCTCCCTCTTCTGGGTATATAATCAATATCAAAGGAAAGGAAATAGTTCAGTCACTCTGAGATCTCGGAGACTGGGCTTTGGCTTAGATTTCTGTTACATAGGTCCCCGACTGAAACAAAGGCCACACTTACCGCAAGCTCTTCCGTTCTATCTAGAAACCTGGGAAGAAGCAGAAGGGAGCGAGGCATTTTTATCTATTGATGTAGGCAGTATAACTTCATAAAATAAGATGATTGCTCTAGGAGAAACACAATTCAAACTCATTTGCCTTCATACACGAGATAAGCCCCTGCCTTCTTAAACTTTCTACCACCAGCAACCCTTTGAAAACACACGGTAGGTCAGCTATCATTGTTCCCCTGATCTTTCTAGCTGAACGAAAAGCAGGGACAAGAAGGCATTGCAGGGCACTAAATAACTGTGCAACGTTACCAGGTCTGACAGTAAGGTTCAGAGCCTCCACAAAACCTTAGCCCACAGTAATGTTATAGGTTTTGGGGAAAGAACACTCTTCATCTGTCAATACAATCTTAAACAGATTTTCTATATTGTTCTCATTTTCATGTACAGTGTAAAGTGTGTTCTGTCTCTCCCAAAAGGTAGTAAGGCTTTGGAGAACAAGGACTTTTATGTTCTGATCCCTTCTTACTCTGAATGGTCCCTATAATTAACATCACTGTTCTGGCATAGAGCTGATGCTTAATAAAGCCTTGTTGATTGAGAAGGAGGGAAGGAGGGAAGAAGGAAGGGAACAGACGGCCTCAATATACATGTCTTCTGAAAATTCATGGCTAACCATCTGTAATCTTGATCCTAACCAGATGACCACCTTAGTTTTGGGGGCAGCTCATCACTGTACTGGAGCTACTGGTAACTGGAGTTGCCGTAGGCCACATGTCAACCTCAATAGAAGTTCCAACCCCTTTTCTGACACTGAAGAAAGAACACAATATACATATATTTTCATCTAAAGGTGAGAAATAGTCCCTACTGATTGGAATGAGACAGGGAAGGAAAACACGATATCCCCACCCTCCTAGCCTCTAGCAGACATGCTTACCTCTTACCTCTCCACCTATCAGAATCCCACCTAGGCTCACAGGCCCGACTCAACTCCTAACCACTTTCATGAAGCTTTCCTCGAGTATCCTGATTGAAAATTATATTTGCTTCCTTTGCTCTTCCACTATACTTCTCACTACCATCACTAGGGATAAAATGTACCTTTACTCTAGGTCTTTTATTTAAAAATGCTTAATATTGATTAATGCTACAGACTAGGCATTATCCTAAGTACTTTACACGACACTCTTTTAATCTTCATAAGGATCCTGTGTGGTAGGTATCATTACCTTCATTTTACAGATGTGAAAATTGATGCCTGAAGAGGCTGGGTAACTTGCTCAAGGTCACTCTATGAATTAAGTGGTGGAACCAGCATTTAATGCAGGTGTGTGTGACTCCAGAGCCTGGTTCTTAACACCTGCTACACTGTCAACTTATCAGAGTCTGTGGCGCATTATTAGTTATCCTTTCACATTTCAGTATCTTGTCTAATAAGCATTTTCAGAAAAAAAAGGCCAGTGTCTTCTTTCTTTATATCCTCCAGAGTGCTCTGAACAAAGTACTCACTACACTTACAGACCAGATGATCAGTTCTTACCTGAAGAGGTCTAAAAGCAGTTTTTGATCCCCAATTTCCTTAAGGTAGTGAATGAGATGTCTCAGGGCGACCTGCCGCACCTCCAGCTCTCGGAAGAGGATCTCTGACAGTTAGGTGGGGAGAGATTACATCCTATTACTCAAGTGTGAAATTGGTCTCCCTACTCACACGTTCCAAACATTAATTCCTCTACGTTGATCAGGAACTAGGAATGTTTTTAATGGTACCTGTCTCTATGGGCTCAGTCCATCATCAACACATTCCATGGTTCAGGGCAACTCTTAACTACTGAGTCAGCTTTCAGTTCTCACCAATCCAAAAATAAGGCACTTAGCATCGACTCTGACTTCCTCAAACCAACACAGCCGCCTTTGTGTCCAGCAAATAGAGGGGGCTTTGTAATTAATATAATCATCACAGTAATGGATGATGACCCCCCTGAGAGATGTGATGTATACTCTGAGGTCTCAGGCCAGCCCAGCTGTCTCTGAAGCAGACCTGATGCTGGTGAATCCCGGTATAAGGAAAGGCCACAATGCCATTCTCCCCTCAAATGTAGCAGACATCTTGCTGACTGAAGATTTCCCTCAAACCATGCTCACCTTTACTCAGTGTCCTTTTCAAGAAGATCAGAACCTAGAGGAAAAGAGAACAAAGAACGAATTACTCTGTGTAACCCTTCAAATACAATGCCCTGCCTTGAGCACCTGATGTCTAAGAAGGAGATTAGTAACTCATTAAGAATCTTTGCAGATCCTGGCAACAGATTTTTCTATGTGATGGAATGACAGGTGATGGACATCCAGAACTGAGTTGTGTCTTAGGAGTCCACATGCCAGTGCCCATACTGGTAAGAGACATCTCCCTCTGAGAAAGACTACTCTCACATCTCTCCTCCCACAGATTATTTTTTAGAACACAGTAGCCAACCTACTGCTTCTTGGTTATAATCAAGAATTCCACACACAATGCGTGTCCTGCCAGCTAAGTCTTAGAGCACATATTACTAAGAATCTTCGACTCCAAGAGGAAATCCAGGATCTTTACTTAACATTTAATCTAAAATGTTAAAGTCTATTCTGATTGGATTTTCAAAACTAATGAAAACAACAATTAAACAACAACCAAAACCCACAACTCACTGCAGTAATGACGTTTCCATCATGCATGCTTACTGCTTCTTCTAAGAGTTGTAGCTTATCCTGTAAGGAGCGGAATCTTTCTAAGGAGCAGACCTGGCAGAATAAGAACAGAGTTATTGTGCAAGGAAGAAGATCCATTTGCTATATTCTTTTGTCACTGGATACTGAAGAATGGGCAAAAATGAAAGGAAATGTCCCCAAGCAGAGCCACTTTATTTTTATACTCTGATCCCTAGCACACTATGAGATAGTAGGTTCCCTCTCTGGTTCAGCCTCATGCCCTAGAAGACGCTCGTTTCCTGATGAAGTCCTGCCAAAATCAACAGGAAGAAAGATCACCTGTTCTCTTTTTAATGATAAAAACTTTACATACATACATGTAATTTACATATATTAAGTGCACATTTCAGTTAATTTTGACAAGTATATAATTCCATGTAACTACCACAATCAAGATACAGAACCTTTCCATCACCCCAAAAAGTTCCCTTGTCCTTGTCCACTATGACATCAATATCCTCGTCCCATCCCCAGCCTCTGGCAACCACTCATTATCAGTCACAAAGTTTTGCCTTTTCTAGAATTTCAGAAAAATGGAATGATACAATATGTACTCTTTTGTAACCGGGGTCTTTCACTCAATATCATGTTTCTGAGACCAATCTATCTATGTGTTGTGGTATTAGTAGTTTGTTCCTATTCACTGGTAAGTAGTCTTTCATTATATGGATATACCACCATTTATTTCTTCACTTATCTGCTGATGGATATTTGGGTTGTTTCCACTTCGGGAGCTATTATGAATGAAGCTGCCATGAACATTTGTGTAAGCATCTTTGTATGGGCTACGTTTTCATTTATCTTAGGTTATAAATGTCTATGAAGGAAGTTAAGTGTATATCTAACTTTGTAAGAAACTGACAGACTATTTTCCAAGTAGGTTTACCATTTTATCTTCCTATTGGCAGTGTATGAGTTTCAGTTCTTCCATATTCTCCCAATGCTTGGTATGATCAGTATTTTTCAGTTTAGCCATTCTAGTGACTGTATAGTGGTATCTCAGTGTTTCAATTCCCATTTTCTTGATAACTAATAATATTGAGCATCTTTTCAAGAGCTTGACCATTCGCATATCTTTTTTGTGATATCACTCATTAAATCTTGTGCCAATTTTTTTTATTGGGTTGTTTATATTCTTATTATAGGAAGAGAATTCATTTTTTTAATATATATTCTGGATTAAAATCCTTTATAATATTTGTATTTTGCAAATATTTTCTCCCAGCTAAGGTGGTATTTTCATGTTTTTAACAGTGCTTTCAAAGAATAAAAGTTTTTAATTTTGATTTAGTCCATTTTATCAATTTTTCTTTTTGTGTCCCTAGGTAATAAATCTCTGCCTAACCCAAGGTCACAAAGATTTTCAACTATATTTTCTTCCAGAAGATTTATAGTTTTAGCATTTACTTATATCTAGGTCTATGATCCATTTGACACATTATTATGATTTCAAGTCTCTCAATATTGATGTATAAATTCAATACAATCCCAAAATCCCAGCAGCTCTCTTGTAGACAATAAGCTGATACTAAAATCTACTCAGAAATATAAATGATCCAGACTAGCCAAAACTATTTTGGAAGAAAAGAGAAAAGGTGAAGGGCTTATATTACCTGATATCAAGATTTACTACAATAATCAAGGATATAGTAATGGTAAAAGGATTGAGAAATAAATCAATGAACTTGAAGAGAGTCCAGAAATACACCTACACAGTATGATCCATTGATTTTTGACAAAGGCACCAAGGTAATTCAACTGAAAAAAGACAGTCATTTCAAGAAATAGAGCTGGAACAAATGGAGAACTACATGGGAAAAAAAAACGAATCCCAATCCTGACCTCACAACATATACAAAAGTTAACTTATAATGGATCAGATCTAAACATGAAAGATCACTCTCATTCTTAAAAGTACCCTTCCTTCTCATCCATCACTCTTTCTCCATGACCCTATCAAAGCAACACTAATCTCAAATTTTGCAGCTGACTTTCCCTCTTCGTGGACTTATTTTCCTCCTGAAAACCACTTCATTTAACAAATAAAACTAAAGAGAGGTCAAGATGTTCTCCCTGTGAGAACGAACTGACCAGCTTCCCCAAAAATCCCACAAGAATTCTTGCCCAGTAGCCTTACCTTGCCCTTTCGAAGGCGTCGCACTGTGTCACTGGGACTCCAGTCATTGCTGTAATCCTGTAATATGAGCAAGGCATGAGTCCCAGGAAGTTAAGGTGTCAGAATTATCAGTATGCCAGCTCTTCATCTCAAACTCATAGTCTTAGTCCCTAAAGGGGAAATACTTTGTGAGGAAATGGATGGAAAGAAAATGAACTGAAATAATCTTGTTCTGAGTTTCTGAAGGAACTAAAAGAGGAACAAGACAGGCAGAAAGAAATGAATCAAAGAGAAAATGAATCAATTGACAAAATTAGTAACTCTATGCTTTTTGGTTTAGGATTCCAAACCTTATATGCAATTAGTCACATTTTTGAGACTTTAGGTAATGGCTTTGCCATCATAAGGAAAAAGAAAGACATGCTCCTTTTCTGGACCTTATGATATAGTTTCTTCCTTATGAATCAATTTGCTTTTTTATGTGCTTCAAGGAAACATGAGCTCCGCCAAGTTTCCAGACTGCAGTGATGAAAAGTTTCAAAGTATAGCTTTCCAAAGGCAGCAAAATGGAAAAGGAAAGTGTGCTAAGACTGAATCAGAAGAGATTTTTGAGTCCAAGTTCTACCATTTACTAGTTGTGACACCCTAGGCAAGCCCTAATGTTTAGAAACCCAGTTTTCTTACCTATAAAAGGAGATTAAAGTAACAACTGCTAAAAAAGCTGGGCAGATTGAGCAAGATAATGTATGTCAAAGCACTTTAAACTGTGTCAAGTGTCATGCCAGAGAAAGATATAACTCACCCTATATTCCCCCTTGGGTCTCCTCAATTCTGGAGCATAGCTTTTCGCAGGCGTGTCCGACAGCGCTGAAAAAGAACAGGCAGCGGGTTCAGAAGGACACCATCTTCTTGTCGTCTCTTTCCTCAATCTCTTCTTCTCACATTTTTTTGACTTGTAGGCTCCCAAACTACTTTTAGAGCCTAAAGTAGATCTTGGTTCCTCCCCAAAGCTAGTATTTCTAGAAGTCATCCATTCCCCCTGTAACCAGAATGACCCCTACCTCTTTACTCAGTATCAGAAAACTTCTCTAATAATGATGTAGATTCAGGAGAAATTCCATCAAATCATCTAATTACCACTTGTCTCTATGACTCCCCAGACTGTACCCTAGATCAGTAACATGCACCACAGTAATCAAGAAAATAGGTCGATGCCTACCATCAGAAAGGGACTGGAAACTTCCAGGTCTAGTTCTCCCTAAAAGTAAAGAACACATGAGGGAAGAGGTGAACAGTTCAAGTCAGAGCCATTCAGATTTGATTAAAGACATAATGTATATAAAATCTTATTATGCAATACGGGTACTTAAGGCTTAAAAAAGCTTTTATCCAACTTCATAAATTTGAGATAACACGAGAAAAAAGGCAAGAAAAAAAATATTTTCACTGTGGTAAAATATACATAAAATTTACCATTTTAACCATTCTTAAGTCTACAGTTCAGTGGTATTGAGTACATTGTACAACCATTCCCATTATCTCCAGAAATGTTTCATCATCCCAAACTGAGACTCTGTACTCATTAAACATTAACTTCCCACTCTCCTTCACTCCCTCACCTCTAGCCCCTGGTGACCACTATTCTACTTTCTGTCTCTATGAATCTGACTGTTCTGGCTACCCCATATAAGTAGAGTCATACAATATTTGTTTTTGTGTGTGTCTGGCTTATTTTGCTTAGCATAAAGTTCTCAAGGTTCATCCATGTTGTAGTATGTGTCAGAATTTTGTTCCTTTTTGGCTGAATAATATTCCATTGCTTTTACATTTTGCTAATCAATCCATCAGTCAATGGGCATTTGGGTTGTTTCCACCTTTTGGCTATTCTGGATAACACTCCTATGAACATTGGAGTATTCAAGTTCCTGCTTTTCAGTATTTTCCTATAAGTGGATTGCTAGATCATATGGTTATTCTGTGTTTAATTTTTTGAGGACTTCCCATACTGTCTTCCCCAGTGGCTGTACCATTTTACATTCCCACCAGCAGCAATGCACAAGGGTTTCCAATAGTAAAGCAGAGCGGTAGGGCGGAATTTTGATCTAGCTAAATTTCTCCAGTACCTGTCACAGGGTTAATATCTATTTTATTTATCAATCCAATCCCTCTGAATTTTTCTCATTTCTCCCACTCCTGATCCCCAACTGCCAGCTGCAAAGATAATTCTTTATACTTCAAAAAAATTGAAAATTATAGCACAAGTGTTTTTTGAAAAAGGAAAAGGGGAATTCCTAACCATCACTCTTTACCTCTAAAAAAGCTGCTCAGGGAGTAAGTAGAAGCGGGTTTGGGTAGTTGTGCATAGGAGGAGAAGCTGTTTCGGCTCTTTAGCTGTTCACTGTTTGACCCACTATTACCAGCAGTCTCTTTGATGGACCATGAGATACCTGTGAGATAGTAAGAACTAAATCAGTCATTCTCATCCAAATAAATTTTGGATAACGAGCATTCCAACAAACTCTAAAAGCTTTTCATCAGAGGCCCTGGTCCTTTGGCCAACATGGACTCCAAAAATCAAGGCAGAATCAAATAGACCAATCGACAAAAAATGGGCAAAGGAAAGGAATAAATCGACCACAGAAAAAGAAATTCAAGTGGCTATTAAACATACAAAAAGATGCTCAACTTCACTCTTAATAAGTAATTATGTAAATAAAAAGTACACTGAGATACCATTGGTCCTTTCTAAGACTGGCAAAGATCCCAAAGTTTAATAATACCCTGTGGTGGTAAGGCTGTGGGAAAACAAGAACCCTCTGACATTGCTTGTGGGAGTACAAACTGGTGAAATCCCTGTGAAGGGCAATTTAACAATATCTATCCAATACATGTGCAAATATCCTCTGCCAATAATTCCGCTCTAGGACTTGATCTTTCATATAGTCATCTATGGGCAGAATACAAGGTCACTGAGAGCAAAATAAACAAAAGATTGACAACACTCTAAAGTTCATCAATAGTAAACTGGTGAAATAAATTGTGGCGAATCCACACACTGTAATATCATACAGCTATCTTAAAAGAGGGAGAGAGAATAAGAAAGCTCTTTATGTACTAATATGAAAAGATCTCTAAACTACATTATCAAGTAAAAAGAGCAGGGTATAAAATACGCCATCACTTGTATAAAAAGGGGGTAAGAATATATATTCTCATATGCATTTCCGAATGTAAAAAGAATCTTCCGATGAATACACAGGAAGAAAATGATAGCAGTTGTTTTTGGGGAGTGCAGAGACTGAGTAGGGGCATGATAGTGTGGGAGGGAAACCTTTGACTGTTTGCATTAAATATTTTTTGATTTTTAAATCATGTACCAGTAGTCCCTATTTAAAAAAAAACTTTTAAAACATTCTTAAAAATTACACTCTGCAAAGGTATTAAATAGTATTATATAATTGCTGGGCAGTGAGACTTGGTGGCTCAGGAAGTTAGTTCTGCCAACCAGTTATGAGCACTTACGTCAGTAGTTCCCAAATATGACTATGTATTAGTAGTACTCACAGCGCTTATTACAAATCGAGACCCCCTTCACAATGCCCCATCATCTACTGAATCAGAGTCTCTGGAATGAGGCCTAGGAATCTAATTTTAACAAGCACACCAAACGACTGTGAAATAGCCATCCAAGCATTAGCTCTAGGACAGCAGACCTAGCCATATGGAAATTACTGCTATATTTCTCCAAGGATCTTTTCCTGGGAGAAATTTCCAGATATGTGCATCTGAAAATAGTCTAAGCTCATTCCCTTTCCTGACAAGCATTAAAGAGCCAAACGAGTGGAGCCTTCATTAGTGACAAGAACCCTGAATACCAATCCCCTCCAAGAGCCTCTTCTACTTACTTCCCACAGGTTCCCCACTCCAGCTGACTCTCTCTAGGTCGTCGTCATCATCGTCATCCACAAAATCTCGAAGGCTATTTACTGCTCGCTTGGACTCCTTTAACTGCAAAGGGACATAAGGTAGGACACTCAGGCAACTACCACTTCCCACCTCTCTCTTTGACAACTAAGAAGGCTAAGAAATTGGAACCTGAAGATGGTCAACACTTTCATTCTCTGTAATACAAAGTCTAACCTGCTAGATAACCACCAAGAAAAATTGCTTTTTAGCCAACATTGCAGTCTAGTGGCAAGCGTTAGGAGGGCTCAGAGCCACTTTTGAGCTCTACTCATGTTCCTGGCAATGCCTTGCTGTGTAAACCTGAGTTTACCTCTCCAAAAATGAATGTTTCCCCATTTGCGAAAGAGACACAATAAAGACAAAACTTCCAATCCAGTCCATCTTTCAATTATAACAAATTATATCACATGATAAAAGACTTCGGGTTCTTGGGGGAAAAAAACAGAAAGAAATAAATCATTTTAAGAATATAAAGTGGACGTGGTTCCATAGTGTAGCAGTTAGCATATCTGCTTTATATGCAGAAGGTCCTGGGTTCGTGCCCCAGTGGAGCACAGTCCATGGTCTATGGCCATGCCACCTGAACAAGCCTGATGTCTGATCTTGGAAGCTAAGCAGGGCCAGGCCTGGTTAGTACTTGGATGGGAGACCACCTAGGAAGACCAGGTGCTATAGGCATAAATAATAATAATAATAACAATAGTGATAATAAAAAGAATATAAAGTAAGAAGGGCCAAGAATGGTTTTACATTCATTCTGGATGGTTCTTTTCTGAGGACTCTTCTCCATGAACATTTTTCTAAAGATGTGACCCAAAACATTTCTGAGCCTAATGGAGACATGGTCAAAGGCCATATTACCAAGGATGCAAAAAAAAAGAATTTTAGAGTGGCACTGTAGAGGAAGGTATAACATTCAGCAACTGCTCCTGGAAACCTACCTGTGAGAGCTCATCATCTTCGTCATCAAAGGTGAAAGCCTTAAACTTGGAACTGTTCCAATACTCCTCCTCATCACCCTTTGTCCGATTCATCTGGAGTAAGAGGAAAACAGATACATGTACCTTTCTGGATTCTCCCCAAAAAACTACAACCTTCCCCCAGTAATCAGGGATGTATAAAGGAATCTGGCAAAACAAATATTGAACCTGTCATATAAAATCAGATCTTTGGGTTTCCAACTGACTGAACCATGCTTCTGATCCTCTAATTACCCACAAGTAGTCATTGATTTCTACTTTGTTCAAGGCACCCTCTCAGGTGTTGAATGAAATATTTAGAAAGTGCAAAACACAGTCCCTTTCCTGAAGGACCCTACAACAGAGCTGGAATATTCAACATAGGTGTGTATAAAGGTAAAAGTACAAGGCGGGCAAGTGTTATAAGAATGCATCACCAACTTTGATCATGAACAAAACACAACTGCATTCATGTACTCAACATATATCTATTGAATACCACGTATGAGGCACTGTTCTAGGGTCTGCAAATACTGCAGTGAATAAAACTGATAAATATCTTGTTCTCATTTATGCTTGTTAAATGCCTGAAAGACAGCAAAGCAATCAAAAGGAGCAGAATTATTGTGCCTGCATCTTCAACCTTGATTAATTTATTAACAAGTATCTACCCAAATCTGAGAATTGAGGGCCTGGACAAAAAATGAATAAATAAATAAAATAATTAGTCAAAAGACCACAAATCTCTCTCTTAACTACTCTAAAATTAGATTTTACTCTGAATAAAAAACTTGCTCTAGAATTACAAACTAAACTATCAGTGCCAATTGGATTAGAGTGAAAACTGGTTTAAACCAAGGACTAGGTCCAAAACCTCCACAGCACCAAAAATAACTCCAAGGGCTACATATTGTCAAATTTTAAAGGATCAATTTGCTTTTCATTTCAATAGCATCTTTTTCAATAGAAGCTTGAGAAATGCTCATCTTGGCAGCCTGTTGAGATTTCTGCTGGCTCCTAATGTACTCTACTTCCCCTTCCCAACTATATCCCAACTCAGGGCATATAGAGGTGGCAAAGGTATGGTTGGGAATTTTCCACTACTTAGTCCCTTCCCATGGCAGACATCATTAACTGCTTTCTACTGAATCCAGATGTAGCTTGAAAATTCTTTTGTAAATGTAATTCCAGGGAGTCAAAACCAAATGAAAAAGCTGGCAGACATAAAGAAATCATTCCTTGTAGTGGTACAGGCACAGGTGTAGTCAGGTAGCCTTGGGTTCAAATCTTGGTTTCTCTAGTTTTGAGCAAACTGGATAAATACATTTACTTCTAAGCTTTGGAAAGAATGATATCCTATCTATATGGAGTTGCAGTGAAGAATATGTAGGACTCAGGAAACACCTAAAAAAGTGCCTAGCAGAAAGTAAATACTAAATATTAGTTCCTTTCAGTATAGAATCTTACTGACAACTTCCTACCTCAGTTTCCTCATCTGTATAATGGGCATTAACAATAGAAACCTACCTTTTAGGATTGTTGTGAGGCTTAAACCAATGCATGCCTGACACAAAATTAATGTTCAGTATTAACTTTTATTATTAATGAATCATTATGGTATCTTGGAAGAAACTAGAAAGAAAATATTTTTAAGCAATTCTAAAGATTAAAAAAATTTATTTGATACAAAAAAATCTGAGTGGCTATCACACTGAAGGTGTTCACAGAACATATACTGTAGATGTCTCTGGCACAGCTGCGTTTATAAAGCACTTACTTTGTCATCCTCAGAACAACCCTGAAAGGTAGGCCTGACAGATTCCATTACCATTTCACTGATGAGGAAAATGAGGCACAAAAGATTAAGCAACAAAGCTCCCTTGCTAATTGCTCCTATGATTCTGGTTTGCTGGTTCTTGAATTATTCTCACTCTGACTTGCACGGTCCTTCTATTTTTCACTCTAGGAAATACTAGGGAGGGTCACTACTTAACTACAGTAAATAAATATCTGTAAATATCTACAGATAGGCATAGAATATGTCTAAAAAACCCAGTAATCCACCATAGGATTTCTGGAATCTTTTTTAACCATGCAATTTGGATGGATACTTGACACCAATTTGTACTTCTAGTGCCAAATCGGAACCTAGATTTACCTAGACAAGTTGAGATGATGATTTAATGGCTCTAGAAGTGAAAAAGCGACCAGGTACAATTTTAAAAGTGACTGAGAAAGGTGTTCCGAAATGATTTAAAATACTTCAGATGCTTGTCCTTGTCATCACGTTTACTATGAGCCCACAAAATAGTGCAGTAGATCCAAAGAAAACACAGGAACACGACAAAGGAAGAAAAAAACAGAGATGAGCGAAAAATTAAAAATCCACAACCAACACGCTCCCTGCCTCAGGACATCCCAGAGACCACCTACTAAGAAGGTAGATTCCGATTCAGTTATCCTCTTCCACACCAGGCCTACATAGGTGAGGCTATAAACTAAGACCAGGGAATGTGAGGTAAAACTACGGGCGAACGTCCAGAAAGCCACGGATGTGCCGCAATTGCCAGGGCCCAGGGGATGGATCTCTGGTAGACTAAATACTCCTTCAAAATCAAATGTCGGGGCTCACTCGCAGCCCCAATCCTAAGCGTACTCCGGATTGGAGAGTCAGGCCTGGGTGGGATCTCGGGACGCTTCGGAGACTAGGGTAAAAAGATCACGATGCGAAGAGGCCGGACTCAGCCCGATACGCGGCCCAAGGAGTTTGGGACACCCTCACCTCTTCCACTCCGAGCCCTCCCAATCAGGACAGCGAAAGACTCTCCGGCCGCTTAGTAAGCCTTTCTAAACTGGCTATGCGGAATAGAAAAGGGACGGAAGGCAATAGTGGCGGGGAGGGGCGGGAAAAGGGAACGTGTGGCGAGAAAGAGGGCGCACGGCATGCTTGGAAATTGTAGTTTCTTCCTCCTCTGCTGTCAGGCGCTGCCCCGACGGGCCGCAGGGCTTTTTAACTACAGCTCCCAGAATTCCCAATGCGCCGTGTCTAGGTCGTTTCCTTCACTTTTAGCGCGACCTTCCGTGATTTTTCAGCGGGTCACTCAACAAGACTACATCTCCCAGGAGGCTCAGCAGGGCCGAGTCAGGGTCCAGAGAAACAATGAGATATGTCCTCTTGGGTCCCTACGGATTAGAAACGGTCGAGTAAGCAGTTGCATTTCGAGCCCCTATGGGGATAACCTGAGGGAGCGTGAAGGAACCCTAGAACCCGCGGAAGCTAAGGTCTGGCGAGGTGGAACGGAAGTACCCGGTGGGCGGAAGGAGGAACCGGAAGTTAAGGCGGAGAGGGGGCGGGGGTGGTGGGAAAAGCAAGCCAGAAGGTTCTGCGGCCGCTTCTAGTAGTTTCTAGGCGCTGCCGGGCGGCTGGCACCAGGCGCTACTGAGGCTGTGGCCGTGGCTGCTCGCGAGCTGGTGGTGGCGCGATAGGAAAGCTGATGGCCAAGTGGGGCGAGGGCGACCCACGCTGGATCGTGGAGGAGCGGGCGGACGCCACCAACGTCAACAACTGGCACTGGTGAGGGCTAGCAGGCCAGGCCGCGGGAGCACTACGGCCTAGCGGGACCAGGATTGCGGGGTCCCTGAAACCTCGGCCAGGGCAAAGCTGGGACCGTGGCAGTCCTGCCCGGAGATGGGGATAGTTCTTCCTGTTGCAGGGATCCCTAGTCCCAGTCCTCTGACCTCAGCCCACCCCAGCCTCCGTTTCACTGTTGGGGTGCCGAGGACAACGTGGAGTGTTGGCCTCAAAGGAGGGGTTTCAGAGAGGAGAGAACATAACCTCCTAGCTACTGCAGCCAGCCTAAGCAGGGAGATGCTTCCCACACGTGGTCAGAGGAGACAGATCCAAACGGCCTTGGCTTGTGTTGGAAGATTGTTTTGTAAGGCTCAGGGTTGGGTGCTGGAATTCCTATTTTGATGCTTACAAGTGAAATTAAAGGCCATAGGAACCACTGCCTCAGTAGAGAGAGCTAAGGTTTGGAACGGTGCTCAGAGCTGCTGAAGACACCTTGGCCTCTAACCCGGAACTGTTAGTTGGTTGTGTTGTAAACTCCAGGGACTCTCCCTGGTTGCCAGGCAATCGTGTTTTTATAACCCAACCACTCTTAAAAAGTCTACCCTCCTTCATGAAATGTTCCCGAAGTAGTTTCCTTGTTTTTCAACTCCATCGAACTTTGTTCATACTGTCCTTACGAATTTTACTTTGTTGCAGTTTTTTTGCCATTGTTCTTTCCAGTAGTAAGTCGAGAAGCAGATACTGAATTTTCTTCTCCGTATCTCAGCATGCCTCTTCTCTTAACATACATGATGTGTTTGACCTGATCCTTGTTTGTTTTGAAGCCCTGGACTTAAATTGTTTTCATGGCCATGTGAAGGGCACAGGATGTGTAGGGCGGTTATAGGAGAGCCTGAGCTTGAGAGATCAGAACACTGTGCTAATTAGGTCAAGATTATAGGTTTGTTCCTAACTGGACTTTTAAGCTAAATATTGCATTCTATGGCCCAGTCTCTACTCTTGACTTCAGCAAGATGTGCAGTTTTCCACTTGGTCAAATGGTGGCATGTTAGTGTCAAATAATGACACCCCCCCCACCCCCCACCCCCCGCACCATTATAATTGAGTTAGTTTGTAACCATTCTGTAGTGCAGTTGCCTTTATGGACAACATGTGACTCCTTGTCTTCCTAAAAGAGAGTGGCATATTTGTAGAAATACTGTAGTGGGAATGAAGGGTTTTTTTCTTTTCATCCTATTTGTCAAGCCTCCTTTAGCTTCGCATTTTCTTGCATAGAATGAGTGGTGTACCCTCCATTTGGCTGCTCATCCATATCTTTGTTTCTGTTTTGCAGGACAGAGAGGGATGCTTCAAATTGGTCTACGGATAAGCTGAAAACACTCTTCCTGGCAGTGCGGGTGCAAAATGAGGAAGGCAAATGTGAGGTGACAGAAGTGAACAAGCTGGATGGAGAGGCATCCATTAACAATCGCAAAGGCAAACTTATCTTCTTTTATGAGTGGAATATCAGACTAAACTGGACAGGTGAGTTTGTGCTGGACTGAAAGAAAAGAGGCTAACTGCATTTTGATTGACCCATTAAGGAGCTAGGGAGAAATTTTTGAGAGATAAAAACTTTTCAAGGGAGGTAGGGCTGCTTTGGTGCCCCATAGAAAGCAGTATTAGACGCTGAAATTTCTCTGCCACCGTGGGACACTAAATGGGTTTCCTCTCTCTGGCTCTCAAGAGTCACCAGTGAAGCAGCTGGTCCCCTGTATTTTGGGGCCTTGGCCTGTGTTGGTACACATAAGGTACTTCCTCAGACTAGCGACTTTTGTCTCTTAGATGCTTTAATAGGTGTGTGTGGGCCGTTGGTTTTGATGTTATCTACTCTATCCAGTATGGATCTAACAGATTAGTGTGCTAATGAACCTGTGTGTGACTAATTTGGGGCAATTTTATTCTCTAGTTTAATGTCTCTTTGGTGATGATATTAGCAAAGATTTGGGACCATGCACACGCCCCACTTGTATGGTCCTTAATTTGGGAGGCTGAATTTTATAAGGCCCTAAAGCTAAAGAAGTATGTGTATGGGGCAAAGCATAACATAAATTTGTGATTCAGTAAACGTTTCTCGAATGGTAACAAAAAGGGGAAAAGTCGATATATCAGGAGATTTGTTTTTTTAATTACCAAAGCATAGTAATCAGAAGGAACCTTAGATGTCATTTTTTCTCATCCCTTTTTTATAGATTGAGAAACTTAGGCCTAGAGAAGTAAAGATAAATATTTTGTTGGTTAATTTTGAAATACAGTCAGTTCTGCTATAATGTGACACGTATTCCTAAAAATCACCACACTGTGCAAAATTGCTTAATGAAAACTAAAGGGCTTTTTGGGAAGAGAGGGTTAGGGACACAACACCCAAAAGCTTCATCAGTGACACATTTTTAAAAATTTAGGAACATAAACATTGGTAGCACAATTTTACATATGTTAAATGGTAAGAAATACATAAACAGTAAGTATGGTGCTTTACCTTGAAAAAGATCTGAAGTTTACTTGTGAAAGTGGGCCTCAGAAGGGTTGCGGCTTGTGAGTTATTATGAAGTGGTGGGAGGGTCATCTGAAATCAGAAGGAACATTATAACACCAGTTGTGGATGGCATGGCTTATAATAGGCATGGTGAACTGAGGTTGCTGGCAGATAAATGTTTGAGATGTGTTTTGTGTATTCCCATGCAGTTCAGTTCAGCTGGCTGTAGTTTTTCATGCTCACATAGTGTTTCTCGTGAAGTCACATATAAACGTGAAATTCGTATTATCAAATTGTTTCCTAATACATCAGTCACATTGGAACAAATTCATGTTTTCAAAATAAGCATTCTAGCAGAACTGATTGTATTGGCTATTGACCCAAGTCCTCCCTGGCAGAATTCAGACTAGTGCCGAATCCAGGTAGCTCTTGGCCCCACACTGGTAACACAGTTGATCTCAAGAAATTTGATGAGGAAAAACGTTTCTTCTGAGAGAAGATTGGTTGCATCTGGTGTGTGGCATTTTTTTTTTTCTCCAGAATAAAAAGGGCCAGCTCATTTGTCTAAAAGAAGTGTCAGCAGAGTTGTAGTTAGGACTCCAGAGCAGAAGACTTTTCATGCAGAGGAGGAGACTAATGACGTTACATTGCTTTTGACAGGTACCTCTACATCTGGAATACAGTACAAGGGACATGTGGAGATCCCCAATTTGTCTGATGAAAACAGTGTGGATGAAGTAGAGGTTTGTGCTTCCTAACTCCTCATCTGAGTCTTCTACATCTTCTTATTCTCAGATGAGAAAAGTGAGCTATCATTCAAGATTAAAGCCCAGACTTAGCCCAGGCATTCAGAACCCCAGTCTACAGATGACTAGGTCAGTGGAGCCAGCGGGAGCTTCCAGAACAGCTTGTGCTTATTTAATTACTTTACTTTAGCTAGTCACATGAGTTCTAACGTTAGCCACCTTTGCCTTGGCAGAGAGAACTCGAGAAGGAACACTCATGGGGATTGTATGAATACCCCACCCCTCACGCGTTTCCTTTGGAAACGTCAGCAGTTATCTGATCGCTCAGCACCCACATTCCGCAGTGTGGGTACCCCTCAAGTTATTTACCACCTACTTCTGATCTTTCACTCAGATTAGTGTGAGCCTTGCCAAAGATGAGCCTGACACAAATCTCGTGGCCTTAATGAAGGAAGAAGGGGTGAAACTTCTAAGAGAAGCAATGGGAATTTACATCAGCACCCTCAAAACAGGTATCCCTTGAGTAGTTACCTATGCCTTGAGGAGATAGTTTTCCACCTGTCAGACTCTGATTAAGGGGCTTGACAGTCCTTTCTTTGGCAAATGGGTAAAGATTTGCGGGGAGGGGCTCATTTCATCTCAAAGTCAGTCTATAAACTGAGTAAAGGAAAGATCTAAAGATGCGGTGTTGATAACATGTTAGCTATTGAGCACTTGAAATGTGGCTAGTTCAAATAGAGATATACTTTGAGTGTAAAATACACAATAGATTTTGAAGACTTGGTACAAAAAAAAGAATGTAAATATCTCAAGTTTTTTTATATTGATAACATTGAAATAATAGTTTGGGTATAATGGGTTAAACATTATCAAAATTAGTTTCACTTGTTTAACTTTTTAATGTGGCTACTAGAAAATCTAAAATTACATTT